GTTTTCTTCTCTAAAGCCATCTGTGGTGTTAGTGGTTTTTTGCTCTTCCCTAAAAAATTTAGTTCTAAGAAAATTACTGTCAGTGTAATCTGCTCAGATATAGATTGTTTTATATTGGTGAAGACTTGTGTGCTTTAAGGTTAAAACGAAGAGCTGAGGGAAGATGCTTAGGGTAGTGGTTAAGTTGCTGCTTGGAATGCCCTCATCCCATATCAGATTACCTGGGTTCCTGTCCCAGTTGCACTTCAAGTCCAGCTTCATGCCAATGTATGTGCACCCTGCCTGGGTGGCAGCAGGTGGTGGCTCACATGGTTGGATTCCTTCCACCCATCTGGGGGACTCAGATTGAGTTCCAGGCTCCTGGTTTCAGCCAGGCCTGACCTGTCCCAGCTCTTATGGGAATTCGGAGGATGAACCAGAGATGGAAGTTCTTAATATTTCTCTCCCCTCCCCCCATCCCTTTCCTTCTCCCTTACCCTTTTTCTTACTTTGTATGTGTCTCTGCCTTTCAAATAAATTTTAGAAAAAGACTGCTGGATAGTACATCCCAAACTAGGGGTTCCTGCTTCTAGGAAGGAAATGTGGGGGTGCAGTTTTGATTGTCATAGAAACTGGGGGCTCCTAGGAGTATTTAGTGCCCAGAAGCCAGGAATCTTGATGCCAAGAATACCTACCACATGCACATTTCTGTCCCAGAGAACTGACCCCTGATGACCCTGTAGGTTCCCAGTCCCTCTGGGCACCACTGCCCCGGGACTGGGGTGTGATAGGTGATCTCCATGAACACTGGCATGGGCTCTTGAGCCTCTTTGTCTTCTTTTTAGTTTTTGGGGATTTCTTGGAGCTCAGCTCTGTGTTACAATGAAATTTCATTTAGCGTTTCTATAGTTTTTGTAGAAGTAGAGAGATGCAGTCCACAGGATTGTTAGAAGTGAAATCCTTTTGTTCGTTTCCCTTGATTTTGTGTGCTGTATCCCAGGCAGGTGATAAGCAGTGGGATTATGCAGGGTCACAAAGATTGACTTCTCTGCCTGTGAATTAATCATCTCAGCAAGGTTGCCTTTCTGCAGGTGTGAAGGTAAACGGTGTGCCATCAGGAGAGCAGTGGCTGCCCTGTATCCAGTACTGAGTGTGCCGTGGTTCCTGTGATCAGAAAGCTTAGCTCTGTAAGCTGCTGCCTTAGGGTCCCTAAGTGAGCTTGTCAGCTGCTGCATGTCAGGGCTCCACTCTTGCCCTTCCTTCTGGCCTCCATACAAGTATTCAGCCATTTTGTGTCTGATGAAGGTGATTCTGTGCCATAGCTCATGGCTGCCAAGTTCATTGAGCTTCTTTCTTTGATAAGAAGAAACTTTGAGTAATAAAAAGAAATTCAAGAAAATACAAGAGCCAGAACAAGAAAGGGAAAGCAGACAGAAACAAGTCACATGGGGTGCTTCATTCTGCAGGAGGAAAGACCTGGGGCAAGGTTTGCCCAGAGGTTCCCTCCTCCCATAAACTTCTCAGCAAGTTTGGCATTTGAATATAAAGTGATGACTAGCAGCTAATGGCTATCAGTCATTGGAGTAAGCCAGCCTCTTGGCAGACTGAAGCCTTCATCCGGGCTCCTTCTGCTTCAGATTCTTCTCTCTTACCTGATTACAGTGCTGCTAGTGCCATGGTCCCTGATTCAGAGCCAGACATACTCTAAGACAAGGACACTCAAGCCACTGTCTCATTAGATTCAGCTACAGTACTTTTTTCCTCCCTATAAATTTATCTATATATCTATCTAACTTTTTGAAAGGCAGAGACACAAAGAGAGACAGATACACAGAGATCTTTCATCTGCTGTTTCACTCCTCAAATGCCCTCCAAAGCCAGGCCTGGGCCATGCCAAAGGCAGGAGTCAGGAACTCCATCTGGTTCTCTTACATGATGGTAGAGATTCAAGTCCTTGAACCATTACCTGCTTCCTCTTGGGATACACATACACAGGACACTGGATTGGAATACAGAGTAGGAACTGGAAACCACACACTGCAGGCAACCCCTGTGACATCTTAAGCCCTATGACAAATGCTTGCTCCTAGAGAAGGTTTTTCAAGTGTTCAAGAGTCTTTCTATTCCAAGTATGGTAGACCTGCAGTATTGACAAGTATCATTCAGAGCTTGTAAAAAACGCAGAATCTTGGGCATGCCTACTATATCAGAATTTGCATTTAACATGGCTGCCCCTGGGATCCAGATGTTCTGTGTGTTAGTCAGCTTTTCTTTACTATAAAGAAATAGCCGTGGCAGGCTACTTTGTAAAGCAAAGAGGTTTATTTTGACTCATGGTTCTGGGATTGCAAGGTCCAGGGGTCTCATCTGGTGATGGCTTCTTGCTGCTAGTCTCAAGGTGGTGCTGAGCATGGCGTGGCAAGAGACAGAGAGTGTACGTGTGTGTGTGTCTATGTCTGTGTCTCTGGTCTCTGTCCCTGTACTTAGGAAGTCACCCTGATGACTGATCTCATCCTAATCACTTCCTAAAGGCCCCATCTCTCCACACCATTGTGATTAAGTTTCTGTGCTCTTAATACCATTAACATATGACTTTGGGAATTAAATTCCTGCGTGAGTTTAAGCCTTATAATCCTAGCCCTGAAAATTTGAGAAGCCTTCCAGGGGAAGGTGATTCTAATGTTCTGTTCCCCAGTGTTATAAAACACTGTGGCAAACCACTATGTTAGGCCCTTAATAAGTAGAAAAGGAAGACAGCTGAACTTTTGCATACAACGTGGTTGGAAGAGTGGGTATGATAAGATGCTCATAGTTTGTCCAGGGCTGGCAAAAACAGATGTTGCGGGGTTTTTGGGGGTGATTAGTGTGAGACAATAAGGTTTTTGTTTTTTGGTGATCAGTGTGAGACAGTAAGCTCTGTGTGGTATGTGGTGTATTCAATTACTTCAACAACTAATGAACGAATTCATCAATTAATTTGGTAAAAAATGAGTTGTTTGTAATATGTAAAATTATTATATATACATTTTATTTATTATATAGATGATATAAATTATTGTCTTAGCTTGGGCTACTATAACAAAGTACATAATAAACAGTAGTGATTTATTACTCACAGTTTTGGAGGCTGGTAGGTCCCCCCATCTGGATGCTGGCCCATTCAGTTTCCAGGTGAGGGTTCTTGTCCTGGCTTACAGACAGCTGCCTTCTCACTGTGTCTTCATATGGTGGAGAGAGAGAGAGAGGGAGCTCTGGTCTCACCATCTTATGAAGATTCTGGTTCCACCATGAGACTCTCCCCTTCATGATCTCATCTAAAGTTAATTATTTCCCCAAATCCCCACCTTCAAATTTAGTTACATGGGGTTAGAGCTTTTTTTATTTTTTATTTTTATTTTTTTTTTATTTTTTGACAGGCAGAGTGGACAGTGAGAGAGAGAGACAGAGAGAAAGGTCTTCCTTTTGCCGTTGGTTCACCCTCCAATGGCTGCCGCGGCTGGCGCGCCGCGGCCGGCATGCTGCGGCCGGCGCACTGCGCTGATCCGATGGCAGGAGCCAAGTACTTATCCTGGTCTCCCATGGGGTGCAGGGCCTAAGCACTTGGGCCATCCTCAACTGCACTCCCTGGCCACAGCAGAGAGCTGGCCTGGAAGAGGGGCAACCGGGACAGAACCCGGCACCCCGACAGGGACTAGAACCCGGTGTGCCGGCGCCTCAAGGCGGAGGATTAGCCTAGTGAGCTGTGGCACCGGCCTAGAGCTTTTAAAAAAAAAAAAAAAAGATTTATTTATTTTTATTTGAAAAGAAGAGTTACAAAGAGAAAGAAGGGGAGAGAGAGAGAAAGAGAGAGAGAGAGAGGTCTTCCATCTGCTGGTTCATTCCCCAGTTGGCCACAATGGCCAGAGCTGTGCCAATTCAAAGCTAGGGGCCTGGAGCTTCTTCTAGGTCTCCTGTATGAGTGCAGAGGCCCAAGGACTTGGGCCATCTTCTACTGCTTTCCCAGGCCATAGCAGAGAGCTGGATTGGAAGTGGAGCAGCCGGGACCCGAACCGGCGCCCGAATGGGATGCCGGCACTATAGGCGGCGGCTTTACCCGCTATGCCTCAGCGCCGGCCCCAGGGTTAGAGCTTTAACATAAAATTTTTGAGCAGAAAGACCCAAACGTTTAGTCCATAACAATTATGATATAAATTGATTTATGAACAAATTTTATGTGTTTATATATCATGTATTATGAAGGTTCTTCAAGAAGTTCATGGAAAAGTGGAATTTTTGGTGCAAAACCTTTTGAAAACCAGGCATAGGAGGGGTCTCAAATATTTATGGAAAAAGCATATTATGGCAAATCTATGCATGGGTTTCAATTTTTTTGGCACCAAGGTGTGCTTATGTTTTAATCCCATTTTCCACAAACATTTTGAAGTGCCCTTATACATGAAAAGGCTGTAATATTAAATAATAATGGTAATAGGCCGGCGCCGCGGCTCACTAGGCTAATCCTCCGCCTTGCGGCGCCGGCACACCGGGTTCTAGTCCCGGTCGGGGCGCCGGATTCTGTCCCGGTTGCCCCTCTTCCAGGCCAGCCCTTTGCTGTGGCCAGGGAGTGCAGTGGAGGATGGCCCAGGTGCTTGGGCCCTGCACCCCATGGGAGACCAGGAAAAGCACCTGGCTCCTGGCTCCTGCCATCGGATCAGCGCGGTGGGCCGGCCGCAGCGCGCCGGCCGCGGCGGCCATTGGAGGGTGAACCAACGGCAAAAGGAAGACCTTTCTCTCTGTCTCTCTCTCTCACTGTCCACTCTGCCTGTCCAAAAAAAAAAAAAATAAATAAAAATAAAAATAATAATGGTAATAATGATGAAGACCACCACCAATTAAACCAAGATTGTGGAGCTTACATGTAGGGTACCTAACAGTATAGGAACACACAAAAACCAAGCTCGACCCAGGCCCCTGCACTCAGGGATGGCTTTTAGCCATTGCTGTACTGGCCGCCCATGGTTTCTTGTGCTTTCGTCTGACAGGACACAGGTTCTGCAGCGAGCAAGGCAGCAGTGGAGAGACTGCTCCGGAGGAGACGGAAGGGCCGGACGCGGAATCCTCCGATGAGATTGATCACAGTGGCAAGGTGAGAGCTTTTCATTTTCACATCTCCTGTCTGAAGCCACTCAGCAGTCACAACTGCCGTGTCACCTCGCAGCTGTGTGTGGTTAGGCAGCCCCTCCACGGGACTGAGCGTTTTTACGTCTGAGATGTTGCTGCAAAGCAGGATATGAAATCCCAATTACAGCCTTGATAACAAACTGTATGGGAGAATATGGGGCAGAAATCAATCATCATGAAACCGAGTCCTGTTTCTTTAATTTCTGCCACTGCTGGAGCTCCCCGTTAATGTCCTAATTTCATCCTATCTGCTTCTTCCATCTTCATTTGTGTGAGAGAAACAGCATCCACAGTGCGTGTGACGGAGTCAGCTGTGTTGTGTGCTACTTAGGGTTCCTGTAATGAACTCCTCCTGATTCATGTATGTTCAGCTCTTGTTAGAGGTGAGCATCTTCTACATTAAAGGGAAAGAAACATTTCTTTATTATTGTTAATCCAAATAGATCGAGCCTTGGCTGAGTACTGTGAGAAAGTTCTCCTGCCTCTTTGATGCCAGACCCTGAAGTTTAAATATTCTGTGTCTCTTATATCCAAGACACTCCCACCCGCACACAGTCACGCGTGATTTTGCTTCTATGCGTGATCTGTTCTACTCTGTTGTTGACATAGTTATGCCAATCCCTCCTCCCTTCTCTCAGTCTTTTGTTTGATATTTACCAGGCATTTAACCTGAGCAAACCACATAACTGGGGCAGTTGGGCCTCGAATCTTGGCTCTATATGTGATACTGGTATAACAAGCCGTGTCTTAGCCCACTGTGCCTGGAACTGTCCTTTTAGAAACCTACATTTCTATATCTTTCCTGTTTTGTCTTCCTTTGTGTTAAACTATTCTTGTAGGGCTTTCTTGGATACATATGTCTGACTATACTTAGCATTTATTTTACTGTTTGTTTCTCTTTCCACCACAGAATTGTCATTCTTGGTCTTTATTAAGCTGAGCACAGTTTAAAAAAAAGCATTTGAAAGTATGTTAATAGTTGTGGAGTAAAAGCCATTATATTATTGATTATTAATTAAAAAACAGATAGATGGAAATGCGTGTTTCATTCAAAGCCAAAAACAAAACAAAGCAAAAATTGCCCAAAGTTATTTTTTATTCATGTGGTCCTTACATTAGTTTTACCCATTTTGGCCAGTTGCTCTTAAGAGAAACATATTTCTAAAGTAAGATAAGATATTTTGAAAGGTATTAAGTTATTAGAGTAAAATTTTTAATTTTCAATATCTAATGCGATTAAGGAAAATAGCTATTTTCCATGGATTGAAAGCTTTTATTTCTGAATAGTTTCTGACTTGGATCATTTTTACCTCATTGTAATGGCTCAATGTTCTCATCCTCTTGTGGATTTTAAGAGAAATTGTTTCCGTTTTAAATACAGTGAGTCATTAGGTCCTAAACAGAATCCACTATAATATGAGCTTCTGGCTGTGCAGAGGAAGGAAGAGGCCCCAGGGCTGTGTCGACTGATCCCAAATGTCTCTGACTTCATCTCGGGAGCCTGGCCCCGATCTGCCCCAGAACAGAGAGCGGCAGAGGTAGAGCAGGCGGCGCTGCCCCTGGGTTTCCCTGAAGAAACTCACTGTGGACTTTCTAAAGAGACAGGATTTCCTCAGCATGCCTGACAAGTTGGGGCGGATATTTTTAAAGATCAGGCAGTAGACTGCATTCACACCAGAGAGTCCCGTTCTGTTTTTGCTGGATTGGCTGTAGGGAGCACCTTACCAATTCTGTACCAAGAAATACTTCCTGGTTTTGGCTTGATTCAGATGTTTCCTTTGAAATATTTTGCTTTGTCACCCAGAATAGTCTTTGATGAGTTAAATTTCTCATTTGCAATTTTTGAAAGCAAAAACTTAAATTGAATGAGCAGATCTTGGAGACTGGGTCCTCTTTTGAAAGATTAATAATGAATGAGAGGTAATTCTTAATATTGCATATTTATCAGGCGCTGTTCTATAAGAGCTCATCTTGTCTTCATAGCACTCTTGAGAGCGATACTAGTATTTTTCCTACTTTATTGATGTCATTATAAAATTATCTTCCCTGTTTTATACTTGAGGCTAATGAAACAGAGGTTAAACAAAGGACACACAGCTCTACAGAGGCAAAATAAGAATGAAGCTCTAGTTGGCTCCATGCCTTCTGGTGGTAATGGCTGTACCAGAACCACTTTCTGGTCATACTGTTAAAGTCTAGTGTTAAATATCTGACTGTTGAAAGAAGAAATTGATTTATTAGTACTGTTATAGGCCCATTAGATACACAGTGATTAACCACTTAAATAATTTTTCTAATCTGGATGTCTTTTTATGATTTAAAGTAAGAACAAACAAATATCTTTGCTTTTAAAGATTTATATATTTACTTGAGAGGCATGGTTACAGACAGAGAGAGATCTTCCATCTGCTGGTTCACTCTCCAGATGGCCACAACAACCAGATCTGAGCCCATCCGAAGTCAGGAGCCAGGAGCTTGCTCTGAGTATCCCATGTGGATATAGGGACCCAAGCACCTGGGCCATCCTCCACTGCTTTCCCATGCCACCAACAGGGAGCTGGTGAGACTCAAACCAGCACCCATATGGGATGCTGGCACCACAGGCGGATGCCTGACCCACTACATCACAGCACCAGCCCCAAGAAAAAGTAAATGTCTTAAGTTTTTTTAGTAAGGTTAAAAATTTTTCGGTGCATTTCCTATATTGGTATGTAGCTTTTCTGGAATAAATTCAGAATTAATTTTTAAATTGTAAAATACCTAAATGTGGAAGGATCGTCTTAGCCTTGCCTGAATTCAACAGCCTAGGTGTAAGAATGTAGATGGATAGGTGAATAGATAGATAGATACAAGTAATCATTTTTTTTCCAGCTGAGTATGAGAGGGCTGTTGATTTTGAGGCTATTGTTTAATATTATTTTTCTATTCTTCCTTAATGAGCCATTCTACATAGTCTTGGACAAGATAAACAGAAGCTCTGTGTCTTCCCGAGTTTTTATAATAGCAGATTTTGCTCTGCATGGCCTTTTGGAGTGGAGCAAGTGGATAATTGTGTGCTTGTTGTTGTGCGGTGGTGGTACTGGAATGTCACAGTTGGGGGTGGGGCTGTCACAGGGCAGGGGCAGCCTGGCAGCCTTTCGCTTGGTGGCTGCCTCCTTCCTCCGGTGACTGTGGGTGACAGCCACTGGCTCCTTGTCTCCCTTCCCCTGCTCTCACTTGAAAACTCTTGTTTCGGGAAGTGAATGCTAATTAGCACAGGTCAGTGGAGTCGTGTGCCTTGCATTCCAGGCCCCTCAGCAGCTATGATTTTGTTTGCCATTTAGCTTATCTATTAGAGGCATTTTCTGGACAATTCCATTTTCAGAAGATTTTTCTTTTTAAATTCCTAGTGTTATCTTCTCAGAAGTGTCTGCTTGTGTAACCAAGCGGTAGTGCAGAATGTGAAGCTATGCACTGCTCTTTTGTTTTCTGTTTAAAGAAGCATCTTGTGTTTGAGAGCCGGCTTCTGACACTGGGAGGAGGGCGTTCAGAGTTGTGGGAGCCAGGCAGGTTGAATATTCCCTTGCAGGGCAGGGTGCCGGCCAATCAGCGGATCCCCGCTGCAGGCTAGAGGCCGGGGAAGCATTTGGGGCTTTGCTTTCCTGCCTGTTTGGCTCTCCCTTTCAGGAAGTTTTGTTGTTTAGTCAGGTGAAATCAACGCATGAGTTCTTGTCCACGCTTCAGCCTTTGACAGCCTCCCAGAGGGGACTGACGGGAAGCAGGTGCTGCCTGCAGGGTGGCGTTGGCGCTGCCCTGGCTGCAGGGAGATGTGGCTGTAGGTTTTCAGGCGAAAGTCAGCATGGGATGTCCACACGAGAGGATGCTCTCTTCCGAGCTGGAAGGCATTCGGGGCTCTCGGGGTATTTTAAGAAACTTGCATTTCCGGGTGGAACACATCAGGTGGTAGAGCTGATGGCCTTGAGCATAGATTCCTCATGATGTCTGCACTGTGGAAAATAAAGCGCAAGCCGAGGATTGAAAACAATGCCAAGTACAGTGACTCCGTGTATCGGACACTTCATCTGGTGAGCACGTTTGCTGTTTGAATTTGTCTCGCTGGCCTAGCCTGTGTCACCACTGTCCAGCTGGGCTGTTTTTCAGCCCAGATGATGGTGATTATCTCTGTCGCATTGCCCCAGATTTTATCCCTTTGCTCTGTAGACCCCTTTTTGGTGAAATGTGTGTGTGTGTGTGAGTGTGTGCATGTGTATATGCAGTAACCTTTTTTGCAGAATGGGGGTCAGTAGTTGGTGTGGAGTTGGATTTGTCTTGAATCTTTATATTTGTCTATTCTTTCACACTTAAATAGCAGAAATTTCTCCTTTGCATCTTTTTTTTTTCTATCCCTGAAATATTTTGTTTCTTTTGACTATGGACATTGTAAGTGTGTTTTGCGTTACCTGCCTGGCCAGTGCCTCCCTGTCTCACCTCCACCTGGGTAGTTTGAGTGTTCAGCAGGCGTTTCTGAAGGAGGATGCTCCCTTGCCTCCCTCCATAAAGCTTCTGGTGTTTTTTATGCTATTTCTGCTTTCTGGATAAGTAGATGGGTATACTTGTGGAAGTGTTGGCCCAGGGATGTGTTAACCATTTAATGGCAATGGAGTTACTTGAGCAGGGCAGTTCCTAAAACAAATATTAACTCCCTACGGAGCAGATGTAGTGGGTTAATAGCAAGAAATAACTTTAAAATCAAATTTAATCATCCAATAGTTTTTGATTAATATCAGAGTCAACCATTAGAGTTTGTGTCCTGTCATAAAACTTTGACACTGAGGGTGTCTGTTTTACCCAAATAAGTCTTCATTAGTCTTGGATATTTCTTCTTCACCGTTTGTTCCAGAAGAAACTAAAAATGATGGTGGAAAGTCCTTGGGATTCCTGGGCTCTGACATTACAGAGTACATTGCTTTGCTGTTTGGTCCCCCA